GTACTGACTGTTGCCCATAGACTTAACACTGTCATGGACTCTGATAAAATTATGGTATGCATTTTGCTAGTAAATACTCTAAAATTATGAATCTCGCTAGATATTGGATTCAGGATCACTGATTGAATACGGTTCTCCTCACCTTCTTGTTAATCAACCATCATCTTATCTTTGTATGCTAGTAAATAAAAGTGGATCAGCTAATGCCACGAGGTTGAGAAGCATGGCATTTGATGCATATCAAAAAGGGTTGGATGGAACAAAACTCCAGAATAAGTCCAGGAAGAGAAAAATGATAACAGTAAAATCAAATAATTAATGAACCATAGTTAATTCTTGTTTAGTAACTTACATTCATTTGTTATTTTGGCTTTAATCATACATAACAGAAAAAAATTATAAAAATAGAAAATACATTTTTAGTCATTTTTGATAAAATTTGGCCTGTGAACAAAAGGCTATTCGTTTTTGGATGTTAGCCCGATTTTTGAGCTACTTTTAAATTTATAAGAAATCTAAAATTGTACACAGCATAAAAACATTTATATGTAAATTATAAAAATAGAAAATATTCTCGTAGCCATTTTTTGACAAAATTTCAAGAAAGACTATAGCCTTTGGTTGTTGGCACAATTTTTGAGCAACTTTACAAATTTGTGAAAAATTTAAACTTAATTGGAATCAGCTCAAAGTTGATAAACAATATGTATATGTATCAGAAAGAAATTATTAAAATAGAGAATTCTGTTCTATATCCATTTTTGACAAAATACCATCAATCAGAATTTTCTACATAGCTCTACTGAGCAAGCTAAACAGCACACCTCATGAGCTGAGCACTATACTGAGAACTCTGATTGTCATACTTCCATCTACATGTGTAGAGTGCATGTACATAATGTAAAATGGCTGCTGAGGTAGACTGAAAGCATTTTTTCTGTCTGTATTGATTCGGTAGTCAGTGTACACTATGATAATTAACTCAATTACTTTATGATTCTGTTTATGTTTAAGCCTTAAAAGTAATATTGTTAGTATTATTTTAATTGGCAAATGAAGTGATAATTAATTAAATCAATCAGTTACAACAAAAGTACACAACTCAGTAAAAAGAGACAAATAAAGAACAACGCGGGCCAACCGTGGCAAAAACAGAATAAATGGACAAAAGAATGAGCTGAACACGTGTATATCATATATAATAGTACACTATAAAACCTTCTACAGAACTAAACATGCATGACCCAAAGTTACACAGTTACATAACTAAATGTGGCATACACAAAACCACAAGATTACATCAAACACTATTAATAATAACTTTACCAGTTACCACAATTACAGTTAAGTTAATTTACAACTAATTTTAATGTAATTGACCATTGGCCTGGACTATAATTACTGAAAGACCACAGATTCAATAATGTGGGCGTAGGTCTAAAGACTGTTTCATATCTTTGTTAAGATCAAAGTAACACTGTTGCCCAGTGTAGGGGAAACTAATGAAATCAGAGTGACCTAACAAGTATCCACCATGCAAACAGTCTAAATTCCCAGCCACATCCTTTGATTACTAATTATTCTTCCTTATCTGTCATCAGTGGTAATTTGCTGTTCCGCATAACTGCAATTACTCATCAGTCAAATCATAGGAGTCACAACAATAGATGATTTCACGAGCAGAATTATTTAAGCAGAGATGGTCTACTGTCTGCTATTTCTGATTTAAGTCTGTTTATAGTGTATTTCATCAGTCTGTAGCATATAGTCAAAAATGACAGACAGAGTGAGAGCAAAATGGACTCCTCAGGTATCAGCCACTCAACAAGCAAAGGACTACAGAACTAAATTCAAATATAATCTCCTCTTTCGATTGTTCTTCTGGTAAGAGTCTTTCCATTAAATTGCTTTCATTTCATGTTGGCTATTATAGTTGGGTTGATCCATTGTTTTGTCTGGGCAGTAAACGTAGCCTTGAGTTCAATGACCTGTATGCTCATCCATCAGAAGCAGACTCCAACTACCTTTTGAACAAATTCAACAAGTAAGTCTTATGCTTGCACATAGTGACACTGTTTTGCTATAGATATTGGTTGGTGGAATTGCAGCGAAAAGAATGTGGACAGTCTCCAAGATTATTTATTGCATGGCTTAAGTGTTTCTGGTGGAGGGTGATACTTCATGGCATACTGGTGTCATTTAATGTACTAATTATTATTTTCCAATTCAAGCTCTGATATGACCATTATATAGGTGGCCTGCATGATAACTTTATCAGAGCTATTGGGATCGCTGGTTGATTACTTTACCATCAAATCGCCTACACCAGATGATACAAAAGTGGCTATACTCTTTGCAATGGGAATTACTCTGTCATCATTGGGTATCATGTTTTTTCATGCCCATCACTTTCATCAGGGTTTAATGACTGGTTTTTATACTAAAATAATGTTTACTGGAATGATTTATAAAAAGGTACATGACCCTTTAAAATGAATGTTAAAGTTGCTACTTTCCAAACTAGTTATAACTATTTGCTTTGTTTTTACCTTTTAAACATAAACTATAAACTATAGATCCTGATTTTACAGTTAACATCTGTTTTTATTGTGTATAGACACTTCAACTTAGTCAGGCTACTATGGGAAAACTTTCAGTTGGCCATATTGTGAATCTTGCTTCCAATGATGTACATAAATTTGATGAAGTATGCAAATAATTCTTTGTTATTGATTTATTGAATCCTAGACCTTTGCAAGATATCATTTTCTATGGATGGGTCCAATACATGTTATGGTTGTAACTTATCTCTTGTACATAGAAGTGCAATGGAGTGCCTTTGTAGCTACTGCCTTGCTTGTTTTTCAAATTCCTCTACACCTGACAGTTTTGAAATTTTTCTCCAAGCTAAGGTTTAATTTATGTAATTTACAATAATTTATGATAGTATTGTTCATAGATTTAAAGCTGCTAAAATGACTGATAGAAGAGTTAAAGTTATGAATGAAGTAATTAGTGGAATAAGAGTCATCAAAATGTATGCCTGGGAATATGCTTTCAGGGACCTAGTAGCTACTATAAGAAGGTAATGATTATAATAATAAAAGTTCATGATTGTATGGTGCATAACTTCTTT